CTGGGGCTGCTCAGGGTCAGGCAGCACGCGGCCCACTGTGAAGCCAAACGTGATCCAGGGGCCCAAATCCACTTGCCAAACAAGGCCAGTAGCAGCCGCTCGTTAGGTGCAGCTCCCAACCTCACGGTCACCCTGTACACCCTGCACGGGCTCACATCCTAACAGCCCATCCCTGTCCCATCTGCCCCTGCTCTCACTGACACGCAAACGGGATGGAGGACCAGCCCTACTGCACACCCTCAGGTGTGTCTCTGCTCCCTAATTATGCAGCTATATTTTAAATCAAGTTCACAATATGTGCTCATAAATTTTTATATGCTTAGGTGGATTACATGCAAGGGACTAAATACCCACGAGTATTTAATTGCATACATTACTGTGTGTGCACGCACAACAAAACACATAGAAAAATGTGAGAAACCGACCATTCTGCAACCACCTGCCCCACACCTCTCCCAGGCCCAGGGCTGCTGAGCCGAGGGGTGTGGCCACTCCTCCAGAGCTGGGGACATGGCCTCCTCTACTGCCCCTTGCTCCCTGCCCCATGACCCTGCCCAGTGCTAAGGGCCCAGAGAAATGACAGTCCTGAGCCTGAGTGAGAGACTGACATCCTCCTCTGTGAGGTTTTCAGACATCAAGTTGAGGCGGAAGCAAGACAGAGAGGGATGAGTCTCCCCACGGCTGCAGGATGACAGCCCAAGTCTCGTCCCTCCTGGTGGACAGAGTGGTTGGACTTCTGGAAGGGCACGGCTCAGGCCCCTCGTCCTGCACTAGGAGGCTGGGACTCAGCCTCCCGCCTCCAGCAGGCCTGCGCTGACCCGGCGTGTCTGAAAGTCACCTCCATTACCAATCCCTTTATGCTTTAACTTTTACAGTTGTCAGACACTCAGCCCATGAGAATCCTATTACAGTGAGTGTAGGTTTTATTTAGATTCTGTGTCACACAAGAAATGATAGTAAATGATGATAAAGGAGCTGGTTATTTTTAACGCCTTTCCAATGCCACCCCCGCCCCCCCGATGGCCAGTCAGTCATCCCTGGCCTCACCACATGGTCTGCAGTCAGGGAGTGGCCACGTCAGGGGGTACTGCACTCGGTCCAGCCCTAGCACTGAGAGCATCCTGTCCTCAGAGGGACCCTGTGGGCAGCAGCTGGAGCCCCTGGGCAAAGCTGAGGCCCCTCCTCCAAAGGCAGCCCAGAGCCCTCCCAGCACCAGGCCTGGCGCTCACGGCCTGGGCAGGAAAAGGATGCCGGATCCAACTTGGACCGGAGAGTTGAGCAGGGCTGCTGGGATTTCCTCTTCCTTGAAGGCTCGGGCCTGGAGCCATCCTCTCCTCCTCTCCCCTGCCATCACAGGCTCTAAAGAGGAGGTGGCACAGCCTCAGGCCCCCAGCAAGAACTGTGAGGCTGCTTTGGACAGGCCCATTGGGTCCCTGAGCCTGCACCCAACCCAGGATGCTCCCCCGTGAAGCCCTGCCCTGCCCACTGCCAGGCCTGGCTATGGTAGATGTTTAGAACAGGAATGATGATTGTTTTTGCATTCAGTGGACGTTGTTTATGGACTCTTAGAGCCAAGAACTCTGCTGTGTCACCAAAGACCTTTGTCTTTATTTTAAAAAGAAAACTGGTCAATACAACAAGTATCCAAAGGCTCAGCGCCGGCTGCCAATCTTGTTAGGTGGCACCAATTAATGGTCACTGCAAGGAACCTCAATTAGCACCGTCCAGATGCCTGCTCCGGGTTAAGCACGCCCCTGCTCACTCGGCCCTGTGGGCTTGTGGAGTTGACGTTTTACTTCCAAAACAGTGAGCTCACTAAGTAAATGAAAGTTGGATCCTGTTTACTTGATCAACAGTCTGCCCTCGGAGCAGCTGCTGAAGACGGGCAGGCTAAGGCCACTCAGGAAGTGCCCAGGAATGAAGGCGCAGGGACACTGCTCAGGCGGTGGAAAGCACACGTTAATCTCCCCCACAAGGTCTCGATATTAACCCACTAAAGAGGCTTTTTAATAGCACACTCGGCCCAGGGAACTCACTCCCTGCCATCAAAAGGATTTGCAAAGAGAGTTAAACCTCAAATCCACAGCTCAAATCCAAGTCCCTGTGCACACAAAGGACTGCCAGTGAGCTCCTGGCCCTTTCTGTCTCCTCTGGGTCCTTAACCCCCGAGGTCCCCAACCTGGGCCACCACAGCCTGCCCAGGTTGCCTGGCTTTTAGTCGCCTGCTCTCTGCAGTACGGTCCTACTCCTCCTCCTGTCATATGAAGTAGCCACATCAAAATCAGGAAGCTGGGCGACAGGATCCTGGTGCAAAGGGCTCAAAGACTTCAAGAGAAAGGTATTAAAGTCTTTGGAAAAGTGCAGTGAAAATCTGTATATTCCAGCTGTTGCCATAACCCTGTACTGTCACTGTGAGACTGCACATAATTACAGAAAAGCACAGCCTCCGGCCTCCACCCCCACCCCTGGCCCCATCTTCACTAGCTCAGAATCACCACCATCTGCACACCTTCTCTTGGAGGGTCACTGTGTCCTGAGAGTCTGGCAGCAGGTCACAGGACTGCCCAGGCCCTCTGTCCCCTGGACCCCACACTGCAGCCATACTTTCCCAGCCGTCCAGCTACCTGCTCTGGCCGCACAGTGGGCAGGGCCTGTTTTAACAAACCTTGGGACAACCCAGAGCTGCAACCAGGACCACAATTCGCCTCTCTGGGTTCACAGCCCTATGCATCTTCCCAGCCGCTATGAGACAGACCCTCGAGAGAGAGGGACCGATTAGCCATGGAGTGGCCTGTATCTCCACACAAAAGGGGGAGGGTAGAAAAACGGTTCCCCGAGTCCCCCATTCTTCGCCCCTGAAACACCAGATTGGTGGAAAAGGCTATTTAAACAGCTCTTTCCCACTCCATCCCCAGGCAACAAGTCACAGTGGTCCTGGCTGCTGGCTCTGGCCCTCCTGCTGGCCTCTGAGAGCCACCTTCTAACCTCTCCCTTCAGATCCCAGGGCTCCTGACCCCAAGGGACCCAAGGGCACTGAGCAAAGACAGGCTGCTGCCCCTCCCTGACCTTTCAGACTGAGGCTGGCTGCCAAGGACACTGGAAGCAGACAGCAGAGCCAATGGGCACAGTGTCAACACTAGGACTTGCAGGGCCCTGGGGCCACGAGTGGGCTTGGACTTTCCCGGACTGCTGTCTCAGAGATACCTGTGCCTCCCCGGCTGTACCCGGGCATGCACATGTCTGCCCAAAGCAAGCACTGGGCTCCTGTGTGGGGTGCCCTGCAACCCATCCTCAAGAAGCACCGTTTGTTCCCCGATACACACTGGCTTGTAATGCCTCACACCCAGCCACTCACGAGACAGGAACTTTGCCCGGCACCAAAGACAGATTCCTAGAGCAGCGCCTTCAGAAGACTTTGGACTGGTGGGTCCCCAAGAAGCAGAGAAGGAGGGACAACAGGGCCACCTGGCCTCAAACAGCCAGTTGTTCCCTGGGTCAAGAACTCATGCCTGTTATACACCATCCACAGTTGGCCTCATCTGACCTCCTCAGAGAAGCACTGAAATGATAATGAGCTTGCTCCTTGCAAACAAGGACACCCCACTAAAGAGTAGGCAGTAGGAAAGACCAATCACTTGTGGCCCAAATCAGCCCCTAAAGCATAGAGACCCTATTGCTGAGTGCCTGTGACTTCTGGTTTAGCAGACCCTGGCTGAAAAAGAGCCTTCTGGGGACAGTCTGGAGGAAATGAGTCCTTAGCAGAAAGGACAGCCACACCAGCTGGGGGACCACCACCCTGGGCAGAAGCACCGCTGCTGAGGTAGGTCAGAGCCAGCAAGTCTGGCCTCCCTTCCAGGAAGGGCCCAGTGAACCTCCATGGAGCAGTAAACTTGGGCAGCTTCTGCTTGCCCTGAAACTCAGTCGAGGCCTGGAAGCATGACCCAGGCCAAGGCCACAGGACTGGGGAGCTCACACACCTATGTGCTTGGAGCACCCAGCAGGTCATTAATTAGTCAGGGAAGCAACTGAACCTTGCAAGGCCTTCCTCTGTAGGAACCCACAGCTAATGAAAAGGAAAAGCCATCTTCAGCAGGCCAAGGCCACACCGGGCAGTGGGTACCACCCTGGGAGACAGGCATCTGAGTTCCTACTGTCCACATGGGCAGGGCAAGCCCAGCCCAGGTGCACCTGACTGACCCTGCTTCAGGGGAGGCCGGTCCCCAGTGCTACGAAGTTTCCAGCAGGGTACCCACCAACTGCACCTGCCAGCACACCCGGCACCAAGGACAGGGTTCCCCAAGCAAGCGGTCCCTCTAGCTGCAAGAGTCCAACTTTCACCAGACATTGCCTCCACCTGACCCTGAACTAGGACCAGAGTCCTGCATTGTGGAAAGGACCAGAACTCGTTGAGGGATTTGGACTCCAGACTGAAACACCTTGCACTCCAAGGCGGGGTCGAGGGTCCCGACCAAAGGTAGTATAAGGCTTGCGGCGCAGAATGCCGATCAAGCCTGGGCCCTGCCCCCACCCCCCCTCCGGCCACTCATGCTCCCCCAGCCGCGGCCCACCAGCCTGGCTGGCTCAGAGCCCACCCTAGCCTGGCTTGCCAATGTGGAGCGCTGGTGCCATCTACCGAGGGCCCGCAGCGTGCGGGCAGGCTCCGCGGCCACCAAGCCATGTGGTCAAGGGACCAGGCTCCGGTGGCCGGGAAGGAACCAAGGCCGCTGCGCGCCCTGGGCCCCACATCACATCAGGGTCTTGAATGCCTCCCTGGGGCCCCTCGGGCGTGGAGTGGCGCGTTTCGGGCCGGATAGGAATCCCAGTCCTGGACTTAGGTCCAGGAAGGCTCCAGCCTCCAACCGCCGGGCCCCACAGGGTTGCCCGTGGAGCCTGGACTGAGCGTCGGTAGAAAGCGTCGGAAGCCAGGGGTCGCTGAGGCCCTGAGAGCCACCCGGAGCGCGGGGGACGGCGCCGTGGACCGCGCGCGCGGGGACAATTACCTTCTGTGAGGAACTGCGCGTGGATCACCAGGACGAGGAAGCAGCAGAGCGCGGCCCCTGCGAGTGCCCAGAGCGCCTTCAGGAGCTGCATCGCGGACTGCCCGCTCGGCCGACGCCCCCGAAGCCGCGCTGCGAAAGTCCAGGCGCCGCATCAGCGCCCCACCGGGTGCAGCCTCCGCGGCCGCCCGCTCAAGCCCCCATGCACGCCGCGCCGCGCTCTGCCGCGACTGGCGGCGCCACTCCGGGAGGCGACTCTGTCTTTGCGAGCAGGGGGAGGGGTGGGCGAGGAGGAGGACGCGGGGAGGGGGCGGCGGGCGCGGGGGCGGGGAGGTTAGCGGAAAGTCTCGGGCCGCGGCGGCCGCCGCTCCGGCCACTCGGCCACCATCGCGGGCTGCGGGGCGCCAGGGGCC